TCATAAACGTTTAAATCAAACTCTTTCAATAAGTCATTGCGGAACTTTACAAAACCTTCTCTTAAAATTCTTACATCTTGTTTGCAATAAAATGTGCTATATTTTTCTAAGTCGAAGTGGTTCTCATCTATTCTGCAACCTTTGATGGAATCTATGTTTTTCATGAATGTATCTGCATCCCGGATAAACTTACATGCTTCAGAAATGACACCAGTTCTGTTGTCATTTGCTAACAAAGTACTGCTGTAGTAGTTGTATGGAAATACTTCTTTCGGTCCTGTTTGTAAGTTAAACATAGCAGGAAATAGTTTAAGCTTCTTATTTATAACACTGTAAGAGTCTTTTATAATAATTGCCCTTCCTTTATATAAGCCAGTTATTTGCATTGTTCGTGAACCTTTAATGATGGGAGTTCCTTTCACTTCTGTCATGTGTCTTAAGATGAAGTTTATGTCATAGCTGAGGTTATGGAAATATATTAAACTCTTGTCAGGAAGTCGCTCCAAAAATTCTGTTGCACAGTTTTGACCCCATATGCTTTCACTCACTGAATCATCTTCACTGTCATAACAGATGTTAAAAGCTTTATGAAAGCCATCGGTACTACACTCAAAGTCAGCAAAGAAAACATGCTCAGGAATGAACTTGCACTTATTTTTATTTACTTCTTTTGACTCTGCTTTCTTCTTCAGTTGTACACAATACTTTGGAGCATATGTCAAATCTTTAAATGGTGCAAGGTTCTGTTTATATAAGTCAGTCGTATATGTGAAAAGTTCTCCATAAGAAATAGGTTCGAAATATTTGCACTCCCACAATGTTTTCATAACATCCCATAACGGTGTTGTTCTATCATAACGAACTACATATTTGTTCTCTCTCTTTGTATAAATCTTCATCTGTTTCTCAATGTTCATTCCACCACACGCTTTGAGAATTTCTATATAGTTGCGAATGAAATATGTTGTCATTGGTAATCTTTCATTTAGCATGTAGTGGTCTTCAACAAGAAGTAAGTCAATAGTTCTAACAGTTTCACATTCTTTTGGTATATATCTCTTTATTTCATTATGTCTTGAGTCATTGAAGTAACCAATGGTAACATTAAATGCTATACCTGTTGAATCGGAAATTTCTTGTACTTTACTTTGAGGAAAGTCTCTAACACGAATGACTTCTCTCATGTGGTCAATAGTTTCTTCATTTACTCCAGCCTGAATGCAAGCATAAACGAAACAATTGTCTTCTGTCATAAGTGTGCAGTTCTTTTGTTCAGTTCATTGAAGATTTGGTAGCGTTCAAGATTTATAGGTAATGTGCAAAGATACTTCCAGAACTGACCGCTTCTCTTCTTATAAAACTTCTTTTCACCATTATCTTTCCAAAAGCTTTCTATAAGTGCTGGGTTTCCTGTTTGCTTAAGAGCTTCCAAAATGGCTTTCTGGTCATTTGTCAGTGTGCTTTCATCTCTATATGGTCTCTTTTTTGGTTTGCCTTTCTTTACATCTGACATCGTTAAGCCTTCATATTCTGTTAAATCATACATCTTTATTTCAGTAAGATTCTTTATGTTTGTCAAGAAGAAGTCATAGTGCATTTCAACAATACCTGCAGCATTTGCTTCTATCTCTGATATAAAGTTCTCCTTCAAGAGCTGATGTAGTAATGTTCCAATATTATTGAGGTTTAACGTAGAACATTCATACTTTCCACCAAGTTTATAACATACCATCCATCTTTGTTGGGAGTTTATTTTAATCTTCTTTAAGAGTCTCATGAAAACCTTACCGAAATGTTTGTGTAAGTAGTCTCTGTTTGGTTCATCTAAAGCTTCGATGTTAAAGTCAATGAGTCTATTGCCTGACTTCACATTTCTCTTCCTATTCTCTTCATCTTTCTTTAACCATCTCTCACCTTCTTTTGGTTTGTCGTCAATGGAACGAATGACATCGTTAGCTTTGCGAACTTGTTCTATAGCGCTCTTAAACATCTCTCTTCTCTGTTGTTTCAGTGTGTCGTCTCTTCTTCTTGTTTCACCAACGTTTGAGTTCGTAAGTTCAAACATCTCTTGACGAACATCATGAGAAAGAGCTTTACGAGTATGACCAACGTTCGCATTTGTTATGTCAAACATTTCTCTTCTTACTTCATGAGGTACTGAACGTCTATGATATAAGTCAATAGCAACGTCATTTAAAGGAAATGTTCTTGCATGGACTTCGTCCTCGCCGCGTTGCGACTTTATGAACTCATGAATTCTATCATAACTTATTGCACCATTATAGTCATTGAGGATGTCAGCGAGTGCTTTTTTGTTTGTTGCGTAATGCTTTGCAACATCTATGTTAGCTTCTGTTAGAAGTTGTTTTATTTCCGAGTGTTCTAACTTAGACAACTTCCGATACATCTTTAGTAGGAAATAAAAAAAATATTTTTTGAAAAAATTAGATTAGATTTTTTAAGTTATTTTTCAAAATAATTTAATATTTTTATTTTAATGAAACACATGCAAGATTGCAAGTTCTTTTCATACAATGCTCTCGCTACTGCCATCAAGAATGAGTTCAATAATGCTTCAAATGTTAATGTTATCTTTAACAAGAAGTTTGTGAAAGAATCTAAGTTTGGTCAGTATGTCAGACCATTAGCTATTGTCATTGACCGCAAACGTTATACTTCACAAGAGTTAGCAGTAGTTTTGAAACAAAAGAGTTTCTTCGTGAATGTCAAAGATACTCATTATACTGTCATAAAGAACTCTAACATTGACTTCTTCAGTATTGTTTTAAATCTTTCCGAACAGAAAGAATATAAGAAAGGTGAAACAAATGTGAAATATTATCCTTCATCTCTGAAGACAATAACGAACAAAGATGTTATACAGAAGCTCCTACCAAAGGTTGAAGAAGCTTCAATTGACATTGACGAAGGAAGTGAAATGGTTGAAGAAATAGACCCTGAAGTTATTTAAGCAAAAATATATTTTTGGTTAGTATTCATATGGATATTTTACAACAATTCCCCAATGTATAAACTTTTCATACGCTTTTTCATAAGCTTTATATACCTTCAGAAATTTTGTATAATCTTTAGAAGCATTTAGATATTGTTTAAATGCTTTGTATGTCTTCAGAAATTTTGCATAATCTTTTACATGTTGTTCGTTCTCTTCTTCTGTCATGAGTTCCGAATATTCTAAATTCATGTTCTTTCATATGAGATAAAATTTTATAAAAAAATAAAATTAGCTTAGATTTTTTCATTCTTCCTCTTTGAAGTTATCGAAATATTCTGTTATTTTTTCCTTCAGTAATGGTAAGTCTTCTTTGAATGTAAGTATTGTGCAACCTTTGATGTCATAGTGTGTTTGAGGAAGAGTACTTTTGACAATTTCCTTTATTTTCATTCGGTGTCATTGAAATCGGTAAGTTTTCACGATAGAACCAGTTTCTGTCAGATTTGTAAATCTTAGCAAGGTCGTAAAAGCTTTTGTTGTTTCTTCTGACTAAATGCAACATAACCATATCTCTGTCTTCTTCTTTCTCCAACTCTTCAGTATATATCATATACTTATAACTCTTTTCCTTTCCTTTTGGTACTGAACGCGGTATTCTTTTCTGTATGCTTTTGTCTTTGGATTCAATGACTTCATCTTTTGCTTGAAGTTTCTTTTCCATCTCTCCACGTTCTGCTTTATATAGTTCATCTAACATCATGAAAATATAACAAGCATAACGAGGTGAAGCCCACATTGCTACAGCATTTACTAAAAGTCTATGAACATAATAACCTTTCAAACCAGGAGCCAAATTCTTGCGATTTTCGTACGGAATCTCTTCTCTCGGTTTTCCGAGGGAAGCAATCATATGAGGAAATTCTTCTAAAAGTTCTTTTGCCTGTTGGTTTTCAAACCAATGATATGCTTGCTTTGTAGAAAGAAGAGCATTCAAAATACTTTGCATTTGGTACATGTCATCTTTGACCGAACGAATGAGACGTAACTGTTTGTTATATTGTATGTACTCGTATTCTTCATTTATGGCTTCATGGACTATAACTGTTGTTGTGTTCTCTGATGTTGACATTACTGTCTTTACATACAAAATAAAAAAATAAATAAAAATAAAATTAGCGTTATTTTCTGACTTTCACAAAAGACCAAAAATAAACGCTTTACATGTATTTTTCAGCAACTTCGTCAAATAATTTTATAGCTTTATCTATCTCATCTACTTCAAACGTTTCTTTACCTTTCATGGAGCACCATACATTTTCTCAAACTTTTCAAGTAGTTCTGTTTCTGCAGCTCTCATATCATTAACGAACACAACCTTGACTCTATTGACTGTAGAGTCATATCTTTGAGTTATATTATATGTTCTTCCTATCTTATATCTCTTTGTATTGAAGTCCTTCGGTTTCTGAACGATGTAAAGTAAGCCTTCACTGCAACGTTCCGTATCGAATGAACCATATGTTATGAAGTTATATCCAACAACTGGGTCAATCCATAACAAAACTATTGGTATAAGACTTTTGTCAATGAGATATGCTGTAGTTCCATAGAATCTTACTGATATCATAAGCTCAGGATTTCTTGTCAAAATTTTCTGAGTTGAAGCATTTCTAACCCAATGGTTTGTTTTCTTTTCAGATGGAGATATAATGTCTGACAAAGAATATTTGTTGTATTTCTTTGAGTATCTTACGTTTAAATCACCTATTCTAACCACTTTGGTGTCATTGTCTATCTTTCTAACTGTTTCAAACTCAATGTTTGTCATTACTGTCTTTACATACAAAATAAAATTTTTTCTTAGAAAAAATAAAGTTTATGTTAGCATGTTAGATCTAACACGTTTTCTAACCACTTTTCTAACATGGTCCAAAACACACAAAACTCATGAATTCTCGTGAATTTCCTTAAGATAGAAAAAATAATGTTTATGTTAGCATGTTAGATCTAACACGTTTTCTAACCTCTTTTCTAACATAACTATTTACAAGCGTTTTACATGGTATATGTTGCGATGGTTCATGACTTTAAACAGTTTTGTAGCTTCTATTTCTTCTTTTAGTACATCGAATGTTTTAACTATGCCGAAAGTTTCTTTATACTTCTTCTTGACGTCAGATAATAGGAAATCGTCAGCAGTTGGATAGTTTTTGTTCAGAAATGCTAACATGTCCATTTTATCTTCTGCTGGCTTTTCTGCTTCTTTCTTTAAGTCTGCATAGTCGTTTCTCATTCTTTCTATCTCTTTGACTGAGTAGTTATATTTCCTCATTGCTGCTTTACATTTTGAACATTGCGGGTTCATTTTTGCGTTATACATTGAAATAAAACCAGCTAAAACAACTAAGGCGTCAATTGCTCTCTTCATCTCAAACATAGCGGGTCTTATTTGTTTTTCCATACTTTGCCTCTTCTATCTTTATCTCTTATTTCCCAAACACATTCTGCAACTAACGAAACAAAGTTGTCGTAGGTCTTAAATTCTTCAGATTTATATATGTCAGAAACATTCTTATATACCATATCGCAATCTTTGTCCATAACCTTATGGTTGCAATGAAAACCAAGGAATTCATAATTTAACCTTTCGTATGAACTTCTTTATTTCTACTGAGTCAGTTGGTTTCACTTCAATTTCGTCGAATTCAGGAATAGTGAGTTTTGTTGTTGGATTTCAGGTAGTTTAGGCAAATGGTCAATAATGTCCTGCATTTCATAAAGATATTCTTCATTTGTTTCATCTTTCGCACTACAGTCTAAATTACTTGTTAAAAGTTCTTGCTTTATCTTCTGGATTTTTTTCGAAGTATATGAAGAAGGAATGAAGTTTTTCATCTCTACCAACATTGACGTAGGATTCATGACTAACGAGTTTGGTGCTGTTGTTTGAATTGTTGTTGTGCCGATTGTTGAAATCATATCTTTTATACAAAATAAAAAAATAAATAAAAATAAAACTAACTTTATTTTTCTTTCATAAGGAAATGTCAAAAATTCATGATTTTCGAGAGTTTTAGACCATGTTAGAAATGAGGTTAGAAAACGTGTTAGATCTAACATTCTAACATAAACATTATTTTTTATTTTTTCTATCTTAAGGAAATGTCAAAAATTCATGATTTTCGAGAGTTTTAGACCATGTTAGAAAAGTGGTTAGAAAACGTGTTAGATCTAACATTCTAACATAAACATTATTTTTTATTTTTTCTATCTTAAGGAAATTCATGAGAATTCATGAGTTTTTGACGAAGTGCAAAAGTTCACTTCGTGTCATAATGCAAAAAAATAATGCTGAAAACACACAAAATTCATGAGTTTTTGACGAAGTGCAAAAGTTCACTTCGTGTCATAATGCAAAAAAATAATGCTGAAAACACACAAAATTCATGAGTTTTTGACGAAGTGCAAAAGTTCACTTCGTCAAAAAATCCCTGAAATCAAGAATTAATCCCGTCAAATACATAAAAATGAGGTTAGAAATGAGGTTAGAAAACGTGTTAGATCTAACATGCTAACATAAACATTATTTTTTGTTCATTTATGTTAAAATAAATGGTACCATTAATAATACATGACTGTTCTCGTTCATGTCTGATTTACATCCAACGAAAAAGTTTAGAAGAATTTTCTTATTCTTTCTGGCATATTTTTGTCTTTCCAGTACTCCCGCTCTAATGGTCCCAGATGTGTTGGCTTCGACTCTCTCAAGTTCTTAGATGGTATAACATCTTCAACGCCTCCTTCATATCTTACTTTATAAGTGTCATCGTTTATGTTATAGCCAAGTATTTCAATAACCACTCCTCGCTTTGCTTCGTCAATGGTTTCAGCAAGTTTGTCATTACTACTTTCAACTAATTTATGACGAGGATAAAACGCAATAGAGTCGTTGGCAGCTTTTATAAGATATCCATTACCTTGCGTAGAGTCTACTATATAATAATTTCGACTTAACCTTAAACGTTTCTTTGTCAACGGTTTGTCGTCAAGAACTACACGAACTTTTGTACCAGGAATGAGGGTAAATTGTGTTGAATTTCTGATATTTTGTGTTTGGCTTCGTTTCTTTTGTATATACTTTTCTTCTTGTTGTTGTGTCATTGAATTTGGTGTATGTCCTGTTGTAGAATGTGTTGAGGAATTATATACTTCGAGAAAATGTTTCATTGTTTCTTCGGTAAAGTCTCGCTCTTGATTTAAATCTCTGAGCGTTCTTATGAAGCGGTTTATGATGCCGAGTATGTTATGGTTATGGTCTTCAGTAGTGTAGTGAGTTATGTTATGCTTAATGAGAAAATCTGTGATTTCATTGCTGAGGTATGCACTGTCTTGGTCTGATGTTAAAGTACTTGGGCTATGTTCTGCCACGAACTTTTGTAAAACTCTTAACACTTCACGAGTTCCTTTATTTTTCATTGGATATGCATATGCTTTACGAGTGTTAACATTAATGAAGATGAGGAATGGTTTATGTCCTCCTTTTCTGCTTTGAATGAGAGTGTCAAATTGGTATGCGTCAGGAGCGTTGGAGTAAATTGGTAAAAAGTAGTCGTAAGGGTTTATTTTTGTTTGATGTACAACATTTTTGTCAAAGAACCTTTTCACTTCAGCTCTGTTAGTAAATCCCCAACTCTTTGCAGCTTCATTGAATTTCTTAAATGACCTCCATGGATGTTGTTCGAATACTTCTTTCAAGCTCATTTATGTAAAGTTAAAGATTTTATTCAAGACGGTAAGCCAGCAAAGCAGGCTCAAGCGCGTTCATTGAACGCGCGGTACCATGCAAATACAGTCACAAATGGTGGCATGTAATCTGCACCCGAGCCTGTTGGATTTGTTGTGAAAGTATGTGAATGATTTCCTGCGGTTCCACAGAAAATACCTGCGCTTGAATCTACTGGGTCACTTGAAATATCATATCTATTCATTCCCTGTCTATCCGAACCTGCTGCAAGATTTGTATAACCTCTTTTTGTTATTGAATGTGAATGACTACCTGTTGTGTTTGTAGTTCCTGTATGAGTGTGCGGTGGAAGGTTTGCTTCAAATTTTCTTCGAACCTCCTGTTTGCTTTGAAGAGTTAGCACAGTATAAGAATTTGTCTACAATCTGCTGCCATGTACCAAAACCTAAAACTGTTGCTGGATTTGTTGAGTTCATTGACGTATAAATAGAGCCTATAGGATATAATGTTTCAAGAATCTGAGTCTTTAATGTTTGAAGCTCTGTTTTGTCTGCTTTCTTGTCATATAAATCTTGAGCAGTGAATTTAATATTATATTCATCCTTCATGACATAAACATCTTTACATCTAATGTTTCTCATCGTCGTTATGTCGTCATCCGATGTTAAACCTTGTGGAAAGTTAGGAGGTTTACAATATAATGCATCCCCACCAGTTTCTTCAACCGTTCCTTCAATACTTTCTATAGCAACAGTAGTGAAATTTATGTGTATGTTTTTGTCGCTTTCTTGTCTAACATTGATGGTAGTTCATATGTTTCAAAGTTTCTGGCATGACCTTCAATGTTCATACATTTACTATTTAAGGAGTTTAGTGTATCTTTTACGCTTGTACTTGGATTCTCTAAAGGTGCACTTGAACCAAGGGTATAGTTCAATATTATGTCGTCTGCTCTAACAGTAGTGAAGGATTTATGTGTATGGTTCTTGTCAGCTTTACTATTTAATGTAGCTTGAAGTTCATTTATATCGGAGATGTTGTGTTTATGAGATTTCAAAACTTTGTTCATTGCTTCGAGTTCAACTTTGTCAGCTTTACTTTTAATAGCATCTTCAAACGTTATTTTTGACTTAACTCTCAAAGTAAATCTTGGTTCAACTAATACACCGTTAACATTGAAAGTAGAGGCATAAATTTCATCGTATAACTAAATGCTTCTGGCGCTTTACCTGTGTCATAATGTACAGTACAGCTTATGTCATAACCTTTAGCACGAATGTATTTATATCTTCTTTCATTAACATCTTGTCTTCACTTTTTCTTCAGTTCGTGTTAAATATCCATGGTAGTCCGTTATAATCTGTTCATCTGAAGTTATATAATGAACATGGTTTTTATCTGCTTTACTATTTAATGTAGCTTGAAGTTCATTTATATCGGAGATATTGTGTTTATGTTCTTTATCTGCTTTTTCGGCTAATTTCTCTTCTATCTCATTTATTTCAAGTTCATGCCTACCACCACCTCCCGAAGAAGTATTTTTCTTCAGCTCTTGAAGAACGTCCACTTCGCCATCTTTGGTGTCAATAATGAGACTTTGAGTTAAAACCTTTCCTGTCTTAATGGATGTTTGTAAAACTTCTTCTTCACCGTGTTCGGGATCATGGTCGTCATCATATCTTGTGAAATCAGAGATGTTGTCATACATTAAGCATATCTGTCTCAAAAGTTCTGCTATTTGAAACTGGAACGAAAGATATACAGAACTTTCATCATCTCCTAAAGTCAAGTCTGCTTTCTTAAGTATTTCTTGAATGTATGCAATGAGAACAGAGTACCTTGGAAAATATTCGAACAATATTTCATTAGCTGTTGGTTTTGGGGGTTCTTCTGGAGTTTCTGCATCTCTTGACTTCAATGCTCTTGCTCTCAAAGACCTAAATGTTAGAGCACCGGGTTTTACAAAGGACTTTATAAATGCTTTAATAGTTCCTGGTAAGTTATTGTTAGCATTAAGTAAGTTCCTTATGCTTCCATCATGTACGTCCATAGCACTATGTAAAAAATCTATACTTTTCTTGTAGTCAGCAATAGACTGACTGTGATTTTTTAAAGATTTGTCAATACCTTTAAGCCAATCTTCATGCATGTCTGATACTGAGCCAAGAATATCATTTGCTTCCTTTAGTGTATTTTGTGCTTCTCGTAAAGTATCCAATCCCGTACGTGCATTGTTTGCTATACGTCTTACAGTATCTATTTGACTCCTTGTTTCTTGCATCCAACCAGATAAAGTTTTAATAGTATCCGAACCATTTGAAATGAAGTTCAAAGCATTTTTAACGTCATCTAAAGCTTCTTCACCAAGTACTGCCCATATCTTTCCGATTTGGTATTGAAGAACTCCATATGAAGCAGCTGTTAAACCAGTATTTATAAGGTCCCATATCCATGATTTAGCAGTTTTTCCATCCTTTCCATCCTTTCCATCCAAACCGTTTTCGCCTTGAGGTCCTTGTATTCCTTGTATTCCTTGTATTCCTTGTATTCCTTGTGGTCCGGTGTCACCCTTCTCTCCTTTCAGTTCATCTTTATGTTCGTTATAATATTCTAATGTCATAAGGTGTACATCATTACTGCTACCAGCAACGCCGAGAATTTGTTTCTCATTCATGACTAAATTCTTTAGGCATTTAATGTTGTCGTCAAATCGAAAGCTCTTTAACAATTCAATGAGAACATTTAATACTTTCACTAATGAGGCATCTACTGTAGAATTTATATATTGCACCGTTCCATCATTTATGATGGGAACCTTGCTTGTTGTAATGAATGGGTCATAAGTGTTAAAAGTATCGAAATCAATGACTTTTTTAGTTTTTCCATCGTCAATGACTAAATCATTGCCTTCAATGGTTAAAGTTGAGTTTTCGTTTACTAGTTCATGTGCTCTTCTTGCTTCATTTGTTTCATACGCATATGCAGCAATAGTCATATTTTAATGAGAATAAAATGTTGTTCTATTTGCAAAGTACAGACCCAAACGAATACGGGACAGTAAAGCTACAAACAAACTTAGGTCTTCAGAATGAAGCGCTTGCTTTCAGAGTTGTTGACTTCAATACTATCGCAACTTTTGTCATAATGACGAACAGATTTCATGGAGTTTGAAATAGATGACAAAAGAAGTTTTATAACATTTCCTAACAGAGCAGAGTATAGAATAGATAAAATTGCTGTAGTCATAGATACTCTCATAAATGAAGAAACTATTGACAACATAGATGTCGAACTCTCTTCTGAGGGAACATTGAAGTTCAGTAGCAAGAAAGAGTTCAAGATAACACGAATGAGTCATAGAGTCAACTTCTTTTAGGAGCATATCATATGACATTTCCTTTGAAAAGTGTTGACAAAACGATTGAGATGAAATCTGTTCCATACGTATGTTATGGTAATTGTTTATACATTGAGTCTAAAATAGCTAATGTCACAGGCATTTCAGGAGTTAATAGTAAAGGTTCAGTAGAATATAAATCCTTCTGTTATGCAGTCAATTCAATGTTCATTCCAAACGTTCCTGTCATAGCAACTCATTTAGGTAAATGGGTTCGCATTAGTCCTCATAATTTGAAAGACATGCAATTCAGACTTGTTGACTTTCAAGGAGAGCCTGTAGAACTGAAGGCACCAGTGCGAATGACTGTTGAAGTTGACTTTTTAGAAAATATTAAATGCAACAGCTTACAAGAGAACTCAGAGCTAAAAATATAAAGTATGAATGTTATGTATTAGGTCATGAACTTTGGTTGTTGTTGTTTGATGAAACAAATGAGTTAGTTATGTCAGTCAAGAGAACAGAAAAATATTGTGTTAGTGAAAACTGCACCAAGTCAATAAGATTAGGTTTGCATTATGAAGATGAGTTCGATACTGTTGAAGAAGTTTTGGATAGATATTACAAATTGCTTTAATTTACTAAAACATATTTCAAGCAAAGTTTATATTCTGTTGAAAGTTTTGTATACTCGTTCGAATATTTATACTTAAACTCAACTCCTGGAGTACCTGGTGTTTCAATGATGCGGATGTTACCTATTTTCATGAATGGTGGCGTTTGACCAAGCATTCGATTTCAGGGTCGAGATAGTCAATGACACATTGTTTCCCTGTTATTCGTGAGATAACATTTTCAAGGTCCTCCTTTGTTAGAATTATTTGGTTCTTGCTTATAAGATTTGTCAAAAGCTTCTTATCGTCTTTGAGTAAAATTGTTTGGTATAACTGAAGAAGGTAATGGTCTACGTTATCTGAAGGATTTGTTTGAACATTTGTAAGGGTTGTCGTTGGCTTCTCTTGAAAGAATTTGGTCCAGTGGTGGATACTCTAACTTAACATCTGATGTAGCGTTAGCGTTTGAAGCTGAGTTTAAATTCACGGATTTCAGTTCTGGTTCTTTTTCTTTCAAACACTCTGAACTATAGTTCTTTATGACAATATTGTTTGTCGTTCGTGAGTCAACATTTGATGTTGGTTCAATTGGAACATTAACGGCACCAGCTAAGATGGATTTGCTTCTCATTTCATATAGAATAAAAACCTTTTATATGTATGAAATGAACAATATACTCGACAAGGGTTTGAATGTAAAGCTAACGAATGAAAATATTGTTGAATTCACTGAGACAGGAGCTGTGTATAAAGATGTAGAACTACTGAACAAAAGAGCTAAGGGAAGAAGCAGGAACATGAACAAAGGGTGGAAGCCTATAAAAATTTATGTCAATGATGGCTCAGGAGGTTCAAACATAAAGTATGCAGAAAGTTATAGAGTTTATGCTCTCAAAGGTGAAAAGCCTTCATTTAAGAACAGCTATTCTAACGCATATCCTCAAAAGTAGTCATGTGATTTTATCCCAAGCATATGGGGATTCTAAATTTTTGTCCCTATCGTTATCCCAATTGAATTTTTTTTTGGAATTTAAAAATTTTTTTTCTCCATGTAAACTTAAATTTTAATTTTTACCACTAAAATGCAATATTTCAACAAATTAATGAGTAATAATATTTTAATTTATAATAAATATTATAAATCTCCTCAATTTAATGTAATTATTGTATTAATTTTTGTTGAAAATATAAAATCTTCAAGTAAATGATGTGAATTTAATATTTTTAGAATGTTGTTTAATTGTACTATATTATGGCATGTAAATTTTGTTACAATACATTTTATATGGGATCCCCATTGCCCAATTGAGAGAAAATTGAGAGGTGGGATTGGGCCTAGCCCAATTCAAATATCCCAGGTGGAAATAAAAATTAACAATTCAACATAAAAAAGCATCTTAAATAATAATGATATAAAAGAAATTTTGTATGAATTTCAATCAATTTGTTTTTTATTCAACTTAAGAATCACTTCATTAATGAAAGAAGTCGGGTTCACAACATATCCCGATCTTGAAACGAAACACATGTTTTTTGATGCCCTAAACGGGGGGGTCGCAAGCAAAAAAAAAGATGTCAAAATTTATCCCAAAAATTTTAAAAAAATCGAAGAAAGTGCATCCCAGGGATTATAAAATTTAAGTTTTCACATCTCTACTCAAAAGCTAACGGATGGGGAAGTGGATGATATGAATGACAGCAAAAATATTAACAGAAATGGCGACAGAGATGCATGGAATTTGTTTACCATTAGTCAATTGAAGGTTAAACTTTAAAACAATGTTGGTCGTTCCCATGGAATATTTTTGACTTTAATGGTATTAGTCATGATATGAATCTCAAGGTATGAACGAGGAGAGATGAGAGACTTATATGCTTCCCAAATTTCTTCAAAAGGTAATGTTATACCTGACTGTTTCCAAATGAGTTCAATATCATAGCGTGAGAAACCTTGAAAGATAACGAAGTCAGTTATGAGACGTTTTATGTTTAAAGCAAGAAAACGCCATGTTTGCATAAGTATTGCTACAGTTAAGTGGTAATGTCTGACTTTAGTTATGATGTTAGCTAATGGTGAGTCAGGCTTTGACACTAAACCTTTACCAGCGAAGTCGTCGCAAACGAGCAGAGTGTTTGAAGGATATTTTTTGAAGGGGTATTTTGAAAGTTTTGACAGAATGTAGTTTGTCAGTCGTTTCATATCGTAAACTCCTGAGTATTGACGTAAGTGGTGTTTGTCAATAATTCTTTCCATCTCCTCAGAAGTCTTTTGCATTCCTGACTGTATGAACTCTACGATGGCATAATATTTTCTCTTACGTCGAATGTAACGTTGAAGAAATTCAATGAGTTCACTGTCTGGAACTTTAACGACAGAGGCTTGAACTTTTGACATAAATGTTTTCGCTGTTGAGTCCATAGAGTCTGAAGTTGCTGATATAATGATTTGGTCATAGTAAGAGTCGTTTCCTAAACGTTCTGTTATGAGTATATGACGAATGAGGTTAAATGTCTTACCTGAACCCATCTTTCCACAATAGAAATACACACCATTTGAACAGAACTCATAGTCCTTACTGAAAGGAAGAATGAGAGAAGAGTTAAGTTTGTCTGTAGTTTCATTCATGTCTTCATCTACGTCATGTATTAAATGCTTCATTTTATCTCCATTAAAAATGCAAGTCAGAAATATTCAGAACATAGCACCGAGTCTAACTGACAAGAGTATAAAGATATACTATGAACATGTTATGATGAAACCAACCAAAATTCAAGAAAGTCAGTATACTTATGAATATCCAAGACACTGGGTAGAGTATGTAGGAGGTGAGAAAGCTATTGAAATCAGACAGGTTCGAAGTATTCCAGCAGGAAGAACAATATTATTGAAGAACTTTAATGTTTTGAGATATAATGATGAAACAAAGAAGCAAGATAGTTTCCCTGTTGCTGTGTATGTGAACTTAGATACAGGAGATGACATGAAAGTTTTTAACACAAAACTTCAAACAGTAGTGAGAGAACAACTGACTGCGGAAGGACATCCATTACCTTCAGAAGTTAGCATAGCATATAATTTTGAAACAAACTCAATAGATTTTAAAGTCGTCTCTGCAAAGAAGTCAGGATTTACATTTAATGAAGCAGATGTATATTCGAATGAAAACTTCAAAGCTATTGCATGGTTAGATAATGACGATTGCTTTAAGAAAATATTTAAATTCAGTGACTCAAAGATGTCAATAGATGACCTTCGTGGAATGTTACCATCGACGTTTACAGTAGAAGGTTCAGCAGGATTGCTTACAAGATTGTCAATTGGTGGTATTTGGTCTCGTGAGAACATTGTTATAAAATCCAGTATAAGTGAATTTGCTGAAGAATCTATATTATGTCTTTCAAACTACATGTATTCGCCACCGAAGCATTATAGTATAACAAACTTTGTCAGTAAGTTTAACATAAGACTTGTCGAACCTTCTTCAATGAAAGATGTTGTGCTACCTAAAGATGGAAAGGATGGACTCATTATTGAGATGATTTTAATTGCATATTAAATGAGCTTGTTCTTGAAGGTCATTCATGATGAAATAACTGTTGTAGAAGATGTTAGCAATTGTTCAGACATTTTGAAGCGTATAGATGAGATAAGAAAGAAGTTAGATAGACCGCAAAGCGGTGAGGGTGAAGCCCGTGAGAATGTTTATGTTTCATTGACTTTCTCCAGTAACGAGAACTTTTATGAGATAATATTGAAGAGAGATGATTTTAATATGGTGTAAATGGTAGCTTGGGCAGCTTTAGGCGCAATGGGAACAAAAGCATTAGCATTTGGAGCAAAAGCACTTGGAGCTTATGACGCAGTAAATAAAATGAGTGGAGGAAGGTTTTCAAGACATTAGATGCAAATAAAGGGAAGATTGGAGGCTGGGTTGCAAAGAAGTTAAGATTAAATAAAATAGGGCTCATAAATAAAGCATCCAATTTGGTTGCGACTGAGTCAGAAAATGCTTTAGGAAAGGACGATGAGTTTGCAAAACACGCAAAAGACTTTAATGACCAGATGAAAGGTGAAACAATGCATTTAAATAGATTCGATAGAACTAAAGAAAATGTTTCTTCTCCACCAGTAGTTCTTCCGTATGGTCCCTATGGAATGTATGGAAACCCTTACGAAAGACCATTTGACCCATTGACTGGTGGAAGTAACTGGTATCATTACGGACGAAGAAGAAAGACAGTCAAGTTGGAGACAGACGTGAAGAAAGCAACTAAAAAGAAACCAAGGAAGAGAGTTATAAAGCAATGAATTCAACAGGGTTAGAAAAGAGGTTAGAAAACGTGTTAGATCTAACATTCTAACATAAACATTATTTTTGTGCTATGTTTTCATACGTGTGAGGGTGGTGATATCATTAATTTTTAAGTTTATTTTTAAGTTTATTTTTATATAAATGACGAAAACTATTGAGATAACAAACTACAACGGTCATGAGTTCAAGAACTTGTTCTTCGTTCCTCGTGAAAATACATTCTATCAGATACGAGGGAGAAAGGGTAAAGTTAGTTTGAGCGTTTATGAAGGAATGAAGAATGGAAAGTTTATACAAGCATATGATACAAACGGTAAACGTGTTTCATTAGCTTTGTCAAAACTTACTAACATTTATTTTGACAGTGATTTTGACCTATATGAAGAAGAAAGTGAGTCAGAAGATTATGAGCTGTTATATAAAGCACAGCAATGGGAGGAGTTGCAATACTTTTGTAAGTGAGAACGTTTATTTTTACATTAGTGAAGTTGTTTGTGAAAACGTTAGTGAAGTGAAGTGGTTGGCGGCTTTGTAAATATTTAATGTTAAGTTAGTGTTGTCGTTTGTGTTGTAAAATATACGTTAACGGTTTTGTAAATATTTAAGGTTAAGTGGTGTACGGAGGCGCGCAGTGCCTCAGTACACGACTTAGCCATACTAACTGATTTGGATGGTAAGATAAGTTTCGGTATAGTTTTTGTTAATTGATTAAGAATTGTTGAATAAAATTCTGGAACTTCGTCAATTTCTTTGATTCCTTCTTGAAGCGTTGAAATTTCTTATTGACTCTCTTTTTATAACTTTTGAAAGAAACCGTAAAAATTGTGAAACATGCTTTTTAATAAAAAACAATTTTGATGAAAACCATAAATTAATTTAAAATTGAAATAAATTTTTGAAATCTATGATATTGAATAAAAAAATTTATAGTGTAGATATTGATATAGATATAGATGTTAATTTTAATATGATATTTGATAAAATTTTTTTATCAAAACATACTGATAATAGGTTGACATGTAATATGATATTTTGCCTTGTAAATATATTTGGTCGGCAAAATAACCTAATTACTCTTATTTTGAGTTAACTTCCACCATTTCGTCTTATAATATGACAAAGATGCTATAAGATATGCCATCAGAAACTACAACCATATAGTGAAGTTCGAAGGTTTGGATGGTTCAGATAAAACTATTTTCAAGCTAACGAAAAGCATTTGCAGACACTTTAACTTCTGTCCACTTGGTGTTAACATTCTGTCTATGTCGAAGAGAATAATGTGTGAAGTATTCTGTACTGCTGAGGACTTAGGAATGGACATCTTTTATAGCGATACCGACAGTATGCATCTCTACAATGAAGATATCCCTCGTTTAGCTGAAGAGTTTGAGAAACGTTATGGAAGAGTTCTCATTGGTAAAAACCTTGGTCAATTTCATAGCGACTTTGCAGAAATCACAAAAGATAAACAAAGTTTAGCATACAAGTTAATATTTTGTGGAAAGAAGACTTACATAGACTTACTCACGAATGATTTAAATGAAGTTGCATTTCACTGCAGAATGAAAGACGTGAAGCAAGATGTTATTGCTTTAACCGCTAATGAAATGTTTCCTGACTCTGTTCAGTGTTTCTATGATGAAGATAAAGGTTTAATGGTTCCGCAAGGAAAATTTGACAAAGACTCTGAGTTCAGTGTTATGAAGTTATATAAAGCACTTTATGACGGTCAAGAGATTGCATTCGACTTATGTAAGTCTTCTAGTCCTTGCTTTGCTGAAAAGTTTAACTTCTCAATAACGACTAAAACAAGCTTTATTCGTAAGTTGAAGTTCTGAGGTCATTTATTTTTGTCAGCAGTGAGACCATTCATGATAAAAATAAGCCGCTAGCGGCAAGGGTGAAGCCCATGTGGTCATTTACAATACAGCTATTGTAGAATTTAAGAGTTGTGCTTCAATGTAGAGACAGTCCTTATGGTCTGGAGGTAAGAACACTGGGCAGTTATGGTCATGAGTGGAGAACATGTCTATCCAAAACTCACGATTGAAGCCAGTTAATTTATAGTATTTAGGGTTAGGAAGTGGTGAAGTTCTTGTATGACCAATGAACTCATTTTCAACTCCCTTACTTAAGTTTGAATATAATATAGCTTGCTTTCTATCCCAAATGCCTGGAAATCTAATTTCGGAAAAATCATTTTTCCTCGGAAGCATTGCATCATAATTGAAAACATTCTTGAAATCATCACTTGGTTCAGAGATTTGAAATCTTATACGTAATGGATTTTTATTCTCTTTAGCGACTTCATTGAATGGTGAGAATACAATGAATTGACAGTCATGTGTTCCATCTTCATTTTCATTAAATTCATAATGAAAGTCTATAAGTTGTGGCCGACTACCTTCTTCTTTCAGTTGTGCAAGAAACTCACGTAAAGGCTGTAAAGTTTGTACTTCAATGTTGAACTTTTTCTCGAACATCTCATTAAATGAAATCATACATTGTTGCAATGTTGTATCGTCTTTAAAGTATTTGTATATGTGAATGTTTTGGGCGCTTAAAGACTGTTCGTCATTTTCTATCTCGACTTGAAGTATAAAGTCAACCTTTCTGAAAGCACGTGTTATATACATAGATGTTATGCCAATGTACTTCTCTTCATTTATGTTCACAATCCAGTCTGTTGGAAACTTAAACGTTACTCTGTTCCCCTTTATTTTGACGTCAGGGTTTTCACTACTGAACGCAACAGATAAAGGTATTTGTCTATACATTTAATTCGGATAAAAATAACCATTTACTCTTTCTTTGCTTCAGCTTCTTTAGCTTTTGCTTCAGCTTCTTCTCTAGCTTTCTTCGCCAGCAAACGTGGGTTCTTTTGTCTTCCAGCAGCTAATGCAGCAAGTTGTTTTTCACTAAGTTTTCTCTTTGGTCTCTCTGGCTTTTGTTCTTGTTTTTGTTCCTTCAGTTCGGATAAAATTTGCTCGCGAATTTCTTTCTTCAATGCTTCAACATCTATGACGCCTTGGGTCTTGTCCGTAGGGCTTGTCTGAGTCATTTGACTGCAGATAAAAAACAAAATTAAAACTTTAACCGATGTAAAATGAGCTTGTCAAAATCAGAGCGGGAGTCTATTATATTAAATGACGCAAGAGGAATACAACATCCTTTCTATTACGTAAGTCAGAGTAAAGATGGTAAAATATACGTAAGAAAAAGAAAGGTTCCATTAGCGAATGCAGAAAGCGACAACATTAAGGTGCATGGCAAGGGTGAAGTCCACGAAGCCCATATAAAACCTTCTGTTCAAACTGAGCCACCAAAAAGAACAAGAAGAAAAGAAGCCAGATGTACTTTCAATAACGAACCAAGAGCTTATTGCAAAGTTCGTGAATTTCATTGAAAAACAAACCGAGTCAAAGAATCCTGACCCGCCAGTGAAAGAAGTTGAGACAAAAGAGAATGTACAGTTCATTGAAAATGTCAAGAAAACAACTTCCACCACGAATGCCAAGAAGAAGAGTGAGAATAATTGAAGTAAATAGATATTTTTATCTGAAGTAAATACATGCAGAACGAACAGTTAAACGAATTTACTCCAGCAGAGCATATTCATCAGATTCGCTCATATTTCGATATCATAGACAATGCAGTTCAAATTGGTGACACTAATAAAATATTCTGACGCAAAGATTCCATCACAACCTGGAACTGCTAAAGATAACACATGGTAACATTCAATCTCTCACCTCCTGGTGAAAATATGTTGGACCTTTACAATACATTCATTACGTATAAAATGGAAGGTCAATTTATTGTAGATAAAGAAATTGGTTCAGGTTCCAATAAAACAAACCCATCAGGATTTTGGATTGGTTTCGATGACGCTTTCTATGCAGTTGCTGGATATCAAATCCTTGCAAATGGTCGTATCGTATATTCTCAAGACAACGCAAGAGAAGAAGCATATATAACTTCAAACTCACAAACTACCGAACAAATAAAGAAAGTAGATGTTTTCTCAAAGACTCGACATGAAGATGTATGGAGTCATTCGGGAACATGCAGAACAGGACAAATTGTTAGTGGTCCAATTACAGCAGGAAAATCATTTGATTTTAAGCTTCGTTTAAGAATTCCTGTTAGAAGATTCCTTCCATTAGAAGCTATTCGATTTATTCCAGCTTTTGCAGGAAACATTCAGCTTAAAGTAAAGTTCAGTAGCGACGCCTTACAATGCACATCTATATCTGTAAATGATATCATTGCTTTCAATCCAACTCTTAAAGTTGCATTTGCTTCAGATTCAAATCCACCGACAAATAAATTTGTTCCATGGAATGAACCATTCACTATGATAACGAAGGCAGTAGAAGCTAGTGGAACAGTTACTATTACAACTGTAACCCAGCAACTATTTCGAACAAAAGATGGATTTTAATGAATGTTTCATTCATCCAAAGTCATTTCTTTAGACCCTAACATTTATACAGAACTTGTAGAACATTATACAAACGAGGCTTTATGTTTTCCTGTTAAAGTTATGGATTGGATTCTCTATGGACGGTTCATTCTCAAAGAATACAGATAGTTCAAGTGCAACATTTACAGCAGCTTATACGCCTATTAATGTTAAAAGTATTTGGGCACTATTTAGAAAGAAAGACAACTATTATGTTAATTTTGAGAACCCTAAGTTTAAATATCTTCAGCTTTCCATGGGAGCTTATGGAAATATGCCTGCAGAACCTGAAAAATCATATGGACCTGTATTTTATGAAATGGTTGCGAACGCTTGCAATACAAACAATGATATGATAGGATTTAATGAAGATGTTATGAGGTCATTGGTGGATGATGGTAGTGTGGAACATAAATGGGATAGCTATGACAACACACATTTCTTATGTGGTTTTCCAACAGAAGTGGACTTTTGCTTCCAGCAAGGTCAAACATCTACTGCTCCAATAACATACAAATTGTCTGTTAAAGGACCTATTGAACTAGCAACTGAAAATGTACCAAAGCCACTTATTGGATTTATGAGGGATTGTTGCTTTGCCATTCAGGTGCGTGCTAATGGAATCCCAATAATAAGATTAGATGACTATAACTTAGCTACGGACGACAGTGAGGAATAAAGGATGAACGTTTATTTTAAAGCTTATAAATGAGTTCTTCATCAAGCTCTCGTGAACCTTCACCATCTATGAAACAAACTTTACCAAACAATTATGGAGCACCTATTGAATATTTCTTACGAGCTGCACAATGGCAAAGAGCAGTCTCACCAAGGTTAGGTGTTCCACCAGCTCCTGTCAAAAATAGCATTTGGTCAAGTCCTTATATAAGATATGGTGTAATGCATGAAAAATAGCGTGACTTCATTTTTGACAGTTTACAAATGTAAAGTGTTGCATCCTTAAAAACTTGGAAATATATATATTCATGAATTATCTTGTATATTAATTGAAAATCCATAAAACCCTAACAATATTTTTTCTTAAAAAAAAACTATAACAATATAAATAAAATTAATCGTTAAATAAAAATATTTGATATTAGAATTTTATTGGAAAAATAAAAAACTTAATATTTTAAAGAAATATTTAAATACTTGAATGTTTTAACTTTTACATTATCATATAGACTCTCAAATTATTGATTGGAAACGGTTTGAGGGTTATCAATTTAAAAAAATTGTGAGTTTTTTAGATTTTTGGCAATGAGTTTTAAAAATTTGTGAGTGAGAATGTGTGTTGATGCTTGGCACTTTGAAGGGAAGATGTTCTGGGTTCACAATTATTAATGGGATAAATAAAATGATTATAAATATAATATATTAGAAAATAATTTGCAAAATCTCTCCATTTTTATAAATTTAATAATAGAAGTTGATCTATATAGAAAGAGCGTTTTATCTATTAAGTTTTTGGCTTTTGCCTTCAAATCATTAATATAATTTTTTCAAAAAAATTGTTTTATTTAAAATAAACAAATTTTATCAAATAACTAGTATTTTTAAATTATCTTTTGAAAAATTGAAAAATTTACAAATTAAAAAATGGAAGACATCTTGGTTCGTCTCGAAAACCCAGAAGATCTTAAAACTTTTCAACTCCCAACCGTTCCCGCCGATCAGGTTCTCAACGTAATTGAAGAAAAATATCAAGAATACATTAATAATCCAAATGTAACTCTCGAAGATACGGCAAAAACACTTTCAATAGGAAAAGAACGTTTGAAAAAAATTTTCGTACTACTCGGCTATCCAATAAAAGAAAGAGGAAGACCAAAGAAAAAAATTTTTGAGGAAGATGTATACAAAATTTTGGAAATTAAAGCACAATATGACATTGGATACAAAAGGATCAAAGAATCATATTTCGAAAAAGTCGAAAGATTTACATTCAACGATGCTTTCAAAATTTTCAATCAACAACATTTGTTTACATTTCACAGGCATCAGAAAATCGACGAACATCCACATGAATACGTTGCTCAATATGTTAATCAATTGTGGCATACTGATTTGAAATTTCTGAAGGATGATAACGGTAACCTTCAATATTTAATTTCATTTCTTGATGACAGAAGCAGATACATTATTTGCTGGGATGTTTTCGATACAAAAGAAATGAAAAATACTGCCAGAGTATTTCGTCACGCAATTGATTTAGTCAAATTAGTTCCACATGGAATTCTCACAGATAATGGAACAGAATTCATTGGAAAAGATTTTGAAGCGGTTTGCCAAGAATTCAATATAAAACATTTCAAAACTCATCCGTACTCTCCAGAGGAAAATGGAAAAATTGAAAGGAGTTGGGAGACTCTTTTCAAGACAAACCCTGGAGTGAACGTCTTTGAGTTCATCCCCAATGTTGTTTCCCAGTATAATAGGGTATGGAAACACTCCGCATTATTCAAACTCTTTGGGGAGAAATTGACTCCATTTGAGGCCTGGGAAAGAGGCCCCAAATGGACAAAAGATCTCTGCGCTGAACCAGGCTTCGAAAAAAATCTTAGAGATTAACAAATAATTTCAAAAACAAGAAAATTCAAAAAATCACAAAAAGGAAGTTAAGGAATAAACACTTACATTTATTACATTTGGATTTTTTAAAAAATTCAGTATTATTTTTAGAAATAAGATAATATAGTTCTAAATAAAACAAAGAATGTTAAGAATGAAGAAGGAATTAGCGGATGCAGCCGAAGCACGCTCACAAATTACTCTCAATATCCACTCAAATCATACAAAGTTTTATCGAATAGTTTGATATAAAGACAAAAAATTTACAATTTTTAATTAAATCCGAACAATCTTACATATGCAGCTGAAGCACACTCACAAATTACTCTCAATATCCACTCAAATCATACAAAGTTTTGTCGAATAGTTTGATATAAAGACAAAAAATTTACAATTTTTAATTAAATCCGAACAATCTTACATATGCAGCTGAAGCACACTCACAAATTACTCTCAATATGAGAAAGGGACAGACTAGCCCATTGTCACTTTTTAATTTAGCAAATGAACGCTTATGGAGTGGAGTTTTTGGGTAAATCTGATTTGCTTATAAATGAAATAAAATCAAAAGAAACCATATTGGCATTATATTATGCAAAAATAAATGATCTTAATTAGTACTTTTAAAGTTAATTTCAGAAAAAATTTGACACAATGGTATCCGGCACATACAAGTGGTGTACAACCAAAATATAAGTTGGTTTAAACATATATTGCTATATCTCATGATCTTACTTAGTACTTTTAAAGTTAATTTCAGAAAAAATTTGACACAATGGTATCCGGCACATACAAGTGGTGTACAACCAAAATTTCATATCCCTAGTTTTACATTTATGTTTAGTTTTATTTCACCTAATTTTCAAAGATCATAATTGATTCCACTTATAAGCTCTTGCGCTCTCGCATACCATTTTATGCCGTCACTGGCAAATTCGCGGAATCAATTGTTTTTCCGTTTTTGTATTTTTTCGTTTGGCCCGACACAAGTGAAAATATACAAGTTTGTCTCACAGCATATTTTGGCTCCATCAATCGCGAACCATCTTATTTTTCAATGGACTGCGCACCTCAAATCACAAATGCTGTTGAAACAGCCATCCCCTTATGCCAGATCATTTGGTGTGGCGTTCATGTGTTGCGCGCTGTCATGAGAAAGGCTGAAAAGTTTCAAGATCGTTCCAACTTCGAAACTTTCTATAACTTAATGAAGTTATTGGTCTTTGGTTCTGAAGAGGAAGAAATTGATCCTGATGAAGTTTACAACAATTTAGAAGAAATTTTAAATGAGGAACCTGCTGCCCGTGAATACTTTGACCGACAGTGGCGCCATCATCTTGACAGGTGGATGCTTCGCTATATAAATGAAGGAGATGGAACAAACAACATCTCGGAATCACATTTCAAGGTTTTGAAGCACCAGTACTTCCCAGAAAGGCGAAATCTTCGACTCGATGAACTTGTCATCGAGTTATATTCCAGTGTTGTTCCTTCATTCCTGATTAAGTTGCAAATTAAAGGTCTGGATTCAGAGAGAAGTGTTAAAGTTATCAAAAAAGTCACAAGAGATTTCGAAGAAATGACACAATTTAAAAAAGTCGAATGCATCAGTATGCTTGAAGCTGTTCAGAAAGGTCTGAAAAATGATACACTTGATCCCAACATTGTTTACTCAACATTAAAAATATTATTGCAAAGAAAACATTTGATTTAATAAACATTTAATTTATTATAATTAATTTTTTATTACAGTATACTAAAAAATGCTATAAATAAATTATTATATTTTATTAAAATGTGACTTTTAATAGGAGAGAGGGTCAAAGTTGCTATTTGTCACTTTTCCACAAGAATATAATGGGGAAAAAGTTATCATATAGTTGATCTCATTCACTGAGGTGAGAGATGCATGTAGTGTAATGGGATAAACAGTGGGATTCCTGATCTAAGTCCTAGGTTCGAGACACATTGGCTTCATTTTTCTCTTTTTTATTGACGTAAACTATTCAATTTTTGTGTTCTCCATTCAAATTTCAGAATTTTTTTTGCAGATTTCACGCTACATTCGAAGTTACCTTTTGTAACAACCACCACTGCCTACGAAAGACGAAAGTGTGTCACGATTTCACCCGGAAATCCGACGGTTGTTTAAGAGTATGCACTTTTGTCACCTACTCCTTTTAATAGTAAGTGAATAAAATAAATCAGGAATTGGGAAAGAAATAAGGTTAATTAAAAATAATGAAAATTACAAGTTTAAGGTTAATGAAAAGTGACAATGGGCGAGTTTGTCCCCCACTCCTCTCAATATCCACTCAAATCATACAAAGTTTTATATTTTCATTTTATTGTTTCTTAATAAAGAATTTACTTTAATATTCTTAATTGTTTTCTTTTTTATATTTAATTTTTGATATCTATTTTAAAAAATTTATACAAATTCGAGTCAGCTAATAATTTAATTGAAAAAATAAAAAGAAAACATATAATTTTTAATCCGTCTAATTGAATAAGCAATATTATATAAATTATGTTAAACGGTTAATTTTTTCTCAAAAAAAAATTATTTCGAATTTCCGAAATTTTTGACATTTTGGCTGAGAACTATGGTCTGCGAGGTACATAGATAGAATCAGTACCTCGCAGACTATAGTTCTCTATATGGCGCCGAAAATTTTTTGGTGAAATGTCGTCGCATTTCACCAAAAATTTTTCGGCGCCATAGGAAGAATTGGAGGGTGTGAGATACTATTACATGCTATAGTACTCACACCCTCCAACTCCCAATCAAAATCGCATAAAATTTGCTACTTATCTTCAGATTACCTCCCATTATAAAATATATCATTGCTATCTCATTGTACTATATTTCCACCCTATTGTATTTAAAAATATAAAATTTTTTGATAATATATTTTTATATCTTGAATTTTCAAACAATATATTCACAGATAATATAATGGGAAATCTATCTCAACCTAACCTTAAAGTACCAAACTCCTGCTTGCATTCTCACTTACAAATATTAAACATCCATCTCCAAAAAACTAAATTCTTCACACTTTTTTTAAAATTGAGAACATAAAAAACGTATGCATTTAATAATTTAAGATACTAACAAATATTAAAAACTTCAAAATATCAGATAATAACGTTTTTCAATTAAAAAAAATATCATTTTGCTTTTCAATTCGAACATAAATCTTAAATATTTTTAATTAATATCTGATTTACAGCATTATTATCCATTTATAAATCTGACAAATAAATGACAAAACCATCAGAAATAGTGTCACTTTTTGTTAAAAGTGAAGTCACGCTATTTTTCATGCACAACAGAAGTAGCTGAAGTTAAACAAACTCCAACGCCTTCACAAGCAAAACCTTCAATAACTCCTGAACCTATGGAAGTACAAACTCCTGTTCAAAAGTCAACTCCTAAACCGACTCCAACATTTAAACCAGAACCTACTCCTCAAATAAATCGTAAAACTCCTGCGTTTCCTTACTGAAAAAATAACGTTATTTTTATTTAATATTAAAATTTTTATTTGATTGAAATGACAAATAAAGTCACTGAAGCAATGAAACAAAAGTTTTTGATAGAATACATTAAATCAGGAACTATTCCAGAAGGTTTTTACATTCATACTATGAAGGATGGTAGAGTTCAGTTTAGAAAGATAAAGCAACCATTAGATAAAGAAGGAATTTTGAGAAAGATTAAACTTCATGAGGACAACATTGCTGAACTTAAGAAGAAGCTAGAAGAGTTGGAGAAAGGAAGAGAGTTATAAAGCAATGAATTCATGAGGGTGAAAAAACAGGTGAAAAAAGAGGTGAGATCTCACCACTTCACCTAAATTTATTTTTGTGCTATGTTTTCATACGCGTGGGGTGGTGATATCATTAATTTTTAAGTTTATTTTTTTATTTTATTTTTATTTTATTTTTATATAAATGACGAAAACTATTGAGATAACAAACTACAACGGTCATGAGTTCAAGAATTTGTTCTTCGTTCCTCGTGAAAATACATTCTATCAGATACGGGGGAGAAAGGGTAAAGTTAGTTTGAGCGTTTATGAAGGAATGAAGAATGGAAAGTTTATACAAGCATATGATACAAACGGTAAGCGTGTTTCATTAGCTTTGTCAAAACTTACATACATTTATTTTGACAGTGACTTTGACCTATATGAAGAAGAAAGTGAGTCAGAAGATTATGAGCTGTTATGTGAAGCACAGCAATGGGAGGAGTTGCAATACTTTTGTAAGTGAGAACGTTTATTTTTTACATTAGTGAGGTGAAGTGGTTGGCGTTTTGTAAATATTTAAGGTTAAGTTAGTGTTGTCGTTTGTGTTGTAAAATATACGTTAATGGTTTCGTAAAGTGTCAAATTCACATATAATGGGTAAGGAGGCGCGCAGTGCCTCCGTACACATGATATGTATACTAACTAAGTTTCTCCCATTTTTTGAAGGGATTGGAGGCTATGAGATACTGATGCAATGTCAGTACCTCATGGCCTCCAATTCCATCCTGAAACTGATCAAAGTGGACCTTACATGCATTTGGAATTTGCCATGTAAAGTCCATTTTTTGAGAGAGAGGATTTGACTGTGTCAAATCCTCTTTTTCGTTTACGAGAAAATCAAAGATAATTCTCATATAATTCTCTCCAAGTGATTGATCAAATCTTGGTTCAAGTTTCAAACCTTCTTCTTCGATGATTCCTTTGTTTTTTGCAAGTGCAGTATAGGTCATATTGCTGTTTGAATCATTTGGGTTTGTTGTGTTTGTTCTTAGTTGAACTCTCCATCCATAATTTTGGTAAGTTGTTCGACTATTGGTCCTATATCTGAAGTCGAAGGCTCTATTAGATTTACCAACTTCCCATGTTTGAAAGAGGGCAGCTTTTGCGCCAAGTAGAAGCAATGGTAGCATTATTCAAATATTTTATCGGCCAAGTTTTGATCATTCAAAAATTGAATTGGAATTGTTTATCACTTTTGATGATAATGATCGAGTGTCATTGATGTCAAATGCTGCAAATATATTATTTTCATATCTTTTCGCCTAAATAACCTAATTGATTACACTATCAACTTTTCAGTGTCATTTCAATTTGATAGTTATCTAAGAAATAAAATTTTCTGTGTATTATATTCCTTTCACTATTATCATTGATTTTGGAAGGATGATAAAAAAATTAAAAAGCCGATAAAACTCTACAAATAATTGAATTTTTTTAAATATAAAAATTGATCATGGATTATCATAATGAACTAACAAAATCTATCACTATTTCACATTACGATACATCTTTGAATACACAAAACAAAAATCTATTTATAATGAATTTTTCTTAGTAATGATATAAGCATTTATATTTTAAGTTTCATTTTTTGGGGAAAATGTAAAGTTATTAAAAAAATTTAACGTATTTTATATTTCCTCGAATTGGATAAATTGGTCATGTTGATATACTATTCAAAAACCTTCTTATTTTTTAATTTAATTGAATGAATCATAATATTCCGAACTGTTTTCCCGAATAAACAGCCCAATACATTCATAGATAGCATTTCTAAGATCGAGTTAAGATAATGCTTTATTAAGGGTGCGCCCGGGAGGATCATGTAAACTTCAGAATTTAGAACCTTAATTTTTAAGCAATAACTTGGTACCTAAATAGGTAGGAAAACTCTAAAAATATCAAAAAATACAACTTGGCTCCATAATAATCCTGTCATGGTGGCTGTTTGTATCCCCTAGTATTTTCCTTTTGGATCTCTTTTTCTGTCGAAATTAAATTCAAATCTCAGAAGTCGAAGTGAATAATCGACTTATTACTGCTATTATACGAATAAATAAATTCATTATATTATTTTTATTTACATAATATCTGTTTGAAGTCCATAATTCTATAAATTTTTCTTCAAAAACATTACAATCTTGATAGTTTTGATACTGTTTAATAGGTTTTTGGCACCTTATTTAGTATTTACTACGTATAGAGTCGATCTGAACTTAATTTTCGGAAATTTAAAATATTTATTATAAGTAAAATCTGATTTGAAATTTATGTTTAACTACTCATATCTTGCATTATCCTGAGTAGCTTTTGTAAAAATTCATCAAAAAAGATTTTAACGTGCTTTAATTTTTATTTTTTAAAATAATGCATATTATTATATAACTAGCATATTTACAAATTTTAGTGCTTTCAAAAATTTAATCCTCCTCCTCTCAAATAAACGTACATACGGGTGGCCTCTTTTTTCAAAAAATTAAAATTTGAAATTTTTGGCTCAAATATTAGAGATTTTTTCAACCTTCAACGATATATGTTGTCTATATCAGACCTCCTTTCTTTTTGATACTTAACATTGTTCCTAAATCTTAGCCGTTAAGGCTGTTCTGAAAATATTTTTTTTTCGAAAAAATTCGAAAAAAATTCTTAAAATTCAAAAATCCCTTAATTCCTGAGGATTTTGGAAAAAAGTTTTTACATGAACATGTGTATATTATATGAAGTATATTGATAAGGTAAAAATCAAATTTTATTGCATATTCATCGAGAAAATAAACTAACGAATCCTTCAAAATTGAGAGGGTAATCCTCCTCCTCTCAAATAAACGTACATACGGGTGCACCCTTAATATAATATTATTTAAAATTAAACAATAATCTTTATTACTTTTGTATAAATTTGAATTGTGAAGAGATATCAAAATTTTGAATTAATACTCTGAAATTTGAACTGAGTAAAATTAAGAGTGCACTTCCCACTTTCTGACATATAATGAAAAAAATCAATATATCTTTATTTTAATAGCCGAAAAGTATAGCAGCCATGTTTGGTACTATGTAGTGATTTATATTTACTTTCTCCTGATCAAAAATACTAACTTTTTGACCTTAGAATATTGGGATGGGAAACTTGTGTGTCAAAAAAATTGAGAGAATGTCAGAAAGTGGTAAGTGAACACTTAAATGCGATATTCTAATATTAATAAAATATGATTATAAGAAGTATTTTTCAAAACTCAAATTATCAAACATATACGATTATTTTTGAATCAAGTGCTTTCCGCATTAGAATCAAAAATAATCATTAGTATGATAATTACTGTTGTAAACAGAAATTCATCAAAAGTGACACCTCAGAAAAGCTAAAATATTGAATTTTTAGAACTTTTGATAGAGCACGTTTTTAAATATTAATTAAAGTAAATGTATATTTTGTAAAGATTCTTTTTAATAAAAAAATAAAATTTTGAAGAAGAACACAAAATCTTCTGAAAAATAATATCACATAAACTCATATTATTTTCTAATATATAACTATTTTATATAAAAATCAAATTCAATGATCTTAAAAGCGAAGGATAAACCTCAAAATTTACGAATATAATGAGTGGGAATATAATGCTTATCTATCATATTTATCCTTCGCTTTTAAGATCATTGAATTTGATTTTTATATAAAATAGTTATATATTAGAAAATAATATGAGTTTATGTGATATTATTTTTCAGAAGATTTCATTCTATATGCCTATGAAAAGTACTCTCAAAACTAACTTTTTCCTAATTATAATTAAATCTAGAATATTGTATTATGCTTAGTATTATTTCATTTTTCTCATTCAATTTAGAATTTACAAATGTCAAAAAATTGAGAGCTGTCACTTTTGATGAATTTCTGTTTATTACATTACCCTTTTATTGGATTTTAAAAAAAGCAATAAAAGTGTTAAATTTCGAGAATTGTACATTATGGAAAAGAAAGAAAGTATATATATAAATTTTATAAACTACAAACAATTGTTCCATTAGAATGGATAACAAATTAAAAAAAATATTAAATAATATGATTATGCCATGAGAGAACGGATTTTCATCTCGATTTCTCTACTTATTGAGTTTGCCATGTTATTGTCACTTGATTTGACGGTGACTTCGACAATTCCTTGATTGATTTTCAGGATAGAAATCACATTTAAACCTGTAGTCGTTCTAGAGAATAAAATACGTGATGTTGGATCATTTCCTCTGATGATATTCGCTCTTAGCATTGTAGATAATGCGTTTAGAACCGTTTTCGGTTTTGAATTTGAGGAAATTGAGACATTTGAGATGAAAACGGATTCATTTTGGGCAATCGATAATAACGCTGAATCTCCTGGTAATAAGAAGTTAGATGGGACCAATCTGATGCGTCCTTCCAATGTTTCGCCGCCATTTGATGGAATTAACATGATTCTGATCGATTGAGGGTTATTAATGATGGCTATTTCCAACATTATGTGGTGGAAAATGCTGGAACCTTGTGGCATTTGACCAATTGGCTTAACAACAACTTGTTTTACGTTTGCTGATTGCGGAACTTGGATTTCTACGCTTTCGAAGTTAGTTCTAGCGCAATTAGTAACTAGTAATTCAATTTCTACGAGGTTTGGCCGGGCAGAAGAAATTATTATATCCGTGGCCCGAACAATTAAAGAATTGTTCTGGCCAACGAGCTGTCCTTCCTGTCCCTGTTGAAGTTTCCTGCGTGATGCCTTCATGGATGTTGTTGGACGGTCCTCAAATGCGTCAAATTCTTCATCATCTTCGTCATCTTCATTAGAATCCTCTGATTGGTCGAAGTTAATTTCAAAGTCTTGGACCTGCTTCTTGTTTTTGTTCTTCCTGTGCTTCCTTCTTCTGTTTGATTTCTTGATTTTGGATTTTCCTGAAAGATAAGCTATATCTTCTTCAGTTTCCTCGGTAAATAGGGTCACTGGCTCATCAAGTGCTGGAGGACGATCAGGGATTTCGTCTATTTCCTCTTCTTCGTCGTTATGAAAAACATATAACTTTTTACAGAAGTTTTCAAGGAGCGAAATCTTTCTATCCGAGTTATTTATGATTTCTAGAAGCTTAATAAGGGTCTCAGCTTTCTCAGAAACGTCGGTATATTGAGAAGAAGCGAAAAGTGGAAGTTTTAACTGGTAAAGAGAGTCCAATTCAAGGCGTTCGGACTCGGAAGCTCTTAGATACAGTTTAAGGGATGCGGCGAGGCAACACGCTTGAACTCTGGCCGAATCATTTATGATGACTGGTTGTAATATGGAAGAAAACAAGGAATAATCATCAGAAAATTCACCAATGATGTAGGAAGCAACAAGAAGGAGGTTATCGGCCGAGAAAAACCTTGGGTTCTCGATAATTCTTGACATTTCGTGAACAATTCGACGACGAATGGAAGGAACACGTTCTGCAAGGTCTAAAAATTGTTCTGATAAAAGATCAAAGCAACTGATCTGTGGATCGTCCGAAATATCCATTAATACGGCGATATACCATTCAAAATCCGAAATCATTTCGTAATCGTCGCGGCTGCATATTTCTATGATCTTTTCTGCTAATTGGTCTTTGGTTGATGGCCTCTTTGGGTCTCTAAGTTGTTCATAAATTCTTCCAACGACATTATCAAGAGTTTTAGCGGTAGCGAGTGAAGAAATAAGATCTATAGCTGTAAGACGAATACTGTCGTCGTCGTGGTTGATGCATTCGCCGATAATTTCGCGATGATCTGTAATTAAGCGAGGATTCAAACGAATGAGCTTCATAAACTGTTGTAATGCGAGATACCTCATGTTCGGATTCGAATTGTATATGAATGATTCAACTCTTGACGTTGCATTTGAAATTAAAGCTGAATTTGAGATTGGAATGTTAATTACAGCATCAATGCACTCAAAAAGTACACTGTGCGATGAAGTAGAGTTAATGAGGTCTGTAAATGGCTGAATTAACTTTTTCGGCAATCTTGGTTCAACTGTGCATAAATATGACAATATTTTGATTAATCTGATTTGTGATAAGTTATCGTAGCATGTTGCAAGCATTCCGAAGAACTTTGGAATAAGAGGAACAAATGGTTGAGGATTATGTGCGGAAAACTCGCAGAAAACGCCAAGTACAATTCGAACTGTTGATGGGTTTGGATCATCTAATGCACCTCTGAGTGTTTGAATGCCAATTTTAAGAGCTGGTTGGTATTTCAAACAAATTCGATAAAAAGTAGCGATTGCTTTCTGTTTCAATGGTAGTCTCTGCGATTTCATGAGAGATATGACATCTCCAGCTATTAATTGGGCAATTGTTTCTGTCATAAAACTTGAAATTGAGTTTAATACAGCTGTAGCAGTGAAAGAGTTTGGAGAAGTAATATCTTTTGATATCCTATTAGGAGCAAGAACAATTACATTCGAATCGCAGTTCCACATTGCTGAAGCAGCAGTATATGAAACTCTTTTTGTGGAAAAACTGTTTTCTATTGACATTACGTCAAGTAAATCGAAATCAGCCCACGATGTATCATATCCCAAGAAATTTATGAATATCAATTGTGGAATTGACTCAATCTTTGCCAGTGTAGATTGTGATCTCAGTTCTGCCTGTATTTTTTGGAGCATTTCTGTTATGTATTCTGTCTGCTTGCCCTCAAAAACTGCCCGGTAGTACTCCTGTGATCTTTCAGCAAGATTGAAATTCATCAAATAGTGTCTATCGGGAAAATATTTTTCAAAGGGTGGAGCACCATTGTCCCCAAAACAATTTAATTTTTTTGGATAACATTACTTAGAAGAAAGTAATAAATAGTGAATCAAGTGGTGAGTTTGAGTACGCAATAGGAAATATTGAACTTGAAAGTTTGACATGATTTTTTTTTTACTTCAAATTGTTTGATTTTGTGAATAAACCTAAAAAGTGGCACCTGAGTATATTGTTTCTGCTTTATCTGATAATCGAAAAGGAATCGATCCACGTTATTAGTATGAAACAATGATATACTAGGGACTAAAGAATATTAATGACGCAAAAATCCAATTATTCGATGTTCAACTCATCACATCTTGCATTAAAGTTGATACCTTTATTTCTACGAAATATTACAATAGTAGCAACCTTACATATTACTAATGATAGCCAAAGTACTATTTTGGCATAATAAATTTAAAACGATATTGAAACAACAGATTGACTAGTCATTCTGATGTTGTATTATGCATACTACAAGGTGATAAAATCTAAAATATCTTAGCTTAACTTTGGTTTGATTATGAGATACGGATCTAAGTTGCTTGATCTGTAGTAATAGTCACTGAATGATAACATGATTATAATATGATGTCTAAATGTGCGAGTTATTGATATTATTTTCAAAAATGTACTTTTAATGGGCTAAATATGGAAATTTTTTAATTCTCTAGTATTACTCCTTTTTTTATGGCCCCAAATTCAACTCATAATAATCTTTATTGGACTTTTTTTTGTTTTGTTTTGTTTTTTTGAGGTCCACTTTTAAAATTGTTTTTTATATAAAATTTCAAAATATAAGAATATTATATTTTTGCACAAGGTGAAATAAGAAGTTCGGCTGTTTCTTTACGATTATTGCTTTCTGCAATATGAAGAGCGGTTTCTCCATTATTATCTTTTTCATTGATATTTATACCATGTAAAATAAAAAGTTCGGCTATTTCTTTAAAATTCCAACGTGCTGCAATATGAAGAGCGGTTTGACCATAATTATCTTTTTCATTGATGTTTATACCATGTGAAATAAGAAGTTCGGCGGCTTCTTTGCAATAATTTTTTGCTGCATAATAAAGAGCGGTTTGTCCATCATTATCTTTTTCATTGATATTTATACCATGTGAAATAAGAAGTTCGGCTGTTTCTATACTATTATGAAATGCTGCAATATGAAGAGCGGTTTCTCCATCATTATCTTTTTCATTGATATTTATACCATGTGAAATAAGAAGTTCAGCTATTTCTTTACTATTATGAAATGCTGCAATATGAAGAGCGGTTTCTCCATCATTATCTTTTTCATTGATATTTATACCATGCGAAATAAGAAGTTCGGCTGTTTCTTTACTATGATAATATGCTGCAATATGAAGAGCAGTTTTTCCACCTTCATATTTTGCATTGATATTTATACCATTTGATAGAAAATATTCACAAAGAGATGGTATATTAAACCTCACAGAAATATTAAAGCATTTGTTAACATCATTAGTTTGATCGAAATAAACTAATAATGGCTCAATATTATTATACTGTGCACAATCAAGTAAGTCGATCTTTATTTTGTATTCATTCATCAAGAATGTAACAAAATCTATGTTGTGTGAAATAATTGCATATCTCATGCATCCTTCATTCGGGTGTTGATGTTTCAAACATTCGCTCATGATTTCTGGATTTCCTCCTAAAAATGAAAATTTAAGACATGTTTCAGTTATTATTGATTGAAAATTCGTTCTTAAGAACTTGAAACAATCAACTGCTCCATGGTAACAACATAATTCAAGTAATGAATATCCATATAGAGATTGTGGATATGATATGCTTTCAAGTGTTTGATCTTTATCAAATCCATATCTCTCAGTGAATGCAATGAATCTTTCTAAGTCATTATACATAATTGCTCTGTAAATTGTATCTTCTGTATGAATTTCAAGATTTTCAAAATCATCAAATTTGTCTAATTTAATTCCATATTCTTTGTAAAACAGGAAGTCTGACATAGGTCCAGCATTTCTGACATCTGTGACATGGTAATCATCAGATATGTGCTTGGCAAGAGATAAATATGACTTTGTATAGCGATTGTTATACGGAATGATACATAAAATATCTATAATAATCTTTGTTGGCGGGTATTTCTGTGAATCAATCAATTCTGTTTTGATCAGTTTGTAAATTGAGTTTAAATCTTCTTCATTTTCAGTTTTCAGTTGATATAACGCATTATATGAATCAATGTAGTATTTGTAGATACTTCGCAGTTCGCTGAATTTATTTGAATGAATGTCTTTGTCGGACATTAATAATTTTTTTTAAGGGTTGACCGACCTAAATTGAGAGGACGTAATCCTCCCGATTTTTTCATTTTCAGCCTTGGTAAAATATCCTCGAAAACTCAAAAAAATTGACTTGTGTCCATTTAAAAGGGTTCGTCGAGAGGTGTTAAATTATTGATTTTCAGGATCGTAACTCATGATTTTTTACAATCATATTAAAATTATGCGAGAAAACAAGCAAAAATATTCGTTATTTTAGTATTAAATACTACAAATCCTAGATTGCAATATATTTTAGCACGTAAAATTCCAAAATTTACCGTAATTGAATAAAATTTACAATAAACATCAATCCATTCTAGATTTTGCATATTGTTAATGATTTCCATACTATTTGTTTGCAGACTGTTCTATTGTTAACCGCGATTGTCTAAATCAATTTCATATAATTAAAATTTACAAATCCCATGCGATTATTATTTCTTGTCTGCAAAACACCTGTGCAACCTCTTTAAATGTAGTTGCTTCAAACTATTAAAATACCAAATTTATTTATTTTATTCCCAAGAATGAAATACATTGACTAGAATTCTCGCAGTAAGCGTTATAAATATTGAGAAATATTGTGAAATAAATGTCTTGTTTACTAATTTGTTCGATTATTTTTAATATTTTTTTCCATTATGTTGAAAAATCAAAAGAATTTTTATTATTTAAGGGTGCCCTATAACGATAATGTAAACATCACAAAATTAACCTTATTAGAACTCGAATGAATGGATTATCCGGATTCTAGTTCTCAATATAATAACCTTAAAGGTGCTTTTCTGAGGGTGGTCTATCGTCTATAGGGCACCCTTAAAAAAAAAAAAGGTAGTGGGGCTTCCAGGCACTTCGTGCCCTCTAGCCCCGAAGATGTTTAGTATAAATGAAGTTTTTATTCGGAAAATTGTTAGTCTTCTGGTGTGAATTCGGAGGACTCTTCTTCTTCCTCCATTGCTTCTGGGAAGAAGCCTTCTTCTGGGTCGAAAACATTATATAATGTTTCACTTTTCACAAATTATATATGTTTTCATGTTTTGTCACTTTTCTGTCACTTTTCGGGTAAAAACATTTTTATTATTATATATAAATGAATTTTACAAAACCTCCGTTACCGTTCTTTGGAAATAAGAGTAAATGTAAAGATATTATATTGAGAGAACTTAAGAAACTACGAATGGTCTAACATTTGTAGATTTGTTCGGTGGAAGTTTCTATATATCCCATTGTGCCATACAATATTCCCAGACTCAAAGATTATATGCAATGACTTCGACAACTATTATGGACCGTCTCAAACATATTCCAGACACAAACAATATATTGAAAGAGTTAAAAGAAAAGATACCTATAGGTAAGAGGAACGTATACCATTAGATAACAAAAATATTGTGAGAGAGGTTTTGAAAAAAAGCAGAATATATAGACTGGGATAGTATATCTGCTAGACTATTATATAGTGGTGCTATAAGAGTTCATGACATTGAAACACTTATGTCAAAAGTTTTATATCTTAATTATACAAATGTTTTCAAAGAGGACATAGAAAAATATATTGAGGGTATAGAGTTTGTGAGATGTCATTGGACAGAGTTGTATGAAAAATATAAAGACAAAAAATGTTTTCTTTATAGTGGACCCGCCGTTCTATAACACATGGGATTTTCAATACCAAGTAGACTGGACTTTGAGAGACTCTTTAGAAACTTTAGACGTTTTACATAACCATCCATGCTTTTACTTTACATCCGATAAAAGTGGTTTGGAAACCGTTATGAGATGGTTAGAGGACATACATGACTATGAGTTTATATATGACAAGATAGAATATGAGAGAGGTCTATAAACTGGAGAAAGTGTCACAATAAAGAAATTTTATTAGTAAGTAAATGTGGTTTGAAATAGGACTACTTGTTTTAGGTTTTTTCCATTGTGTCATTTATTTATTTGACGTGGCAGAAAAGTACAGAGAATATGAAGATGAACAATGCCTGCAAATGTTCAGTATATGTACTCGTAAGAGATATTTTTATCTAATATTAAATGGACGCACAGAACTTAGCGAATGCACAGCAACCTGGACAACCAAACCCAGAGAATATTCCAAATGAAGTTAGAATACAAACTGCAATGGCAAACTATGGTCAAGTGCCAACAGATGTACAAATGCAAACTGCCATGTCAAATGACGCTGCGTTAGGTTTGCCACCATGGTATGCAAATATGAGATGGAAAGAGTTTTATACAAACCCTGAGGTGGGATATAAACAACTTTATGCAGATGACGCGAACACAGGAGTTGACCCAGAATATGTTTTTACCAGAGGAGAAACAGAATGTATGAGCTCCAGTTAAAGAATGCTATGGAACTCAACAGGAAACGTAAGAGACTAGGCGGACATTAGATTTTTACATATAGTAAAATGGTTTCTTCAGTAAGATAGAAACTTCTTTCGAAATGTTGGAAGAGGTATATGGAATGGAATAAAAACCGTAGGAAGAGGAATTTGGAACGGAGTCAAAAATATTGGTAAAAGAGTAGGTCAGTTCGTTGGTATTATACCTAAAGACCCTGAACCAGAAGAACAAGCTCCTGTTATACAACAGCCTGAACCTGCACCACAGTCTAGTTGGCAACCAAATCCAACACCTCAACCGTATTAAAAAATTATATTTTTACCGTTCGATAGTAGTTGTATATGAAACTAAGTTCTAAGTAAAACACATGGTATAATGGAATTATTCTTTTTCTTCCATCTGTAGTAAACCATACTTGAAAGTCTGAAATACTTCCACTTGGTGGTTCGTATAACTTTGTAGGTTTTTCGTAAAAGTCATTTGCCAAGCATAAGAAAGAGTTTTGGGCGCCAGAAAATGAAGCATGAACAATAATAGCATCTTGGTCGAAAACATCTTTAAATAAATATGGTTCATCTCTTGCATATCGACTGTAAATATTTGCTAAAGGAAGTTCGACTTTCTGATTTAACATTCTTTGCAAATAATACCATGACATTGCAGTGAATTCTGTATATATTTGTTCGTCTTTATTTGGATTATTTTCGTAGATTTGAAATGACACTTGTGAATTTTGTTTGTCATATACAATTCTCACATAAAGTGTGCTCTCGGTATTTGCATATTCATCAGCATATTTTGCATAACATGAATTTATTTTATCTTCTATATTTTTTAACGCAGTCTGTAGAGAAGATGAAAGGTCAACTTGTATTAGCTCAATTTCTTCCCACATTTTTCGTTTCCCTTCAGATATATAATCTATATGAAACCTTACAATAAATGGAAAACTTTTATCTTCTACAGACACAAACTTCATTCTACGAAAGCCAATAGCTTTTGTGACAGATGGGTCTCTTAGCCATCTTAATGGGTAGTCAAAACGATAGCCTTCATGCTTTACGGTCTCTGTCTCAAACTTTTGACCGACATTAGTAAAAAGTTCATCTAATGGTTTAGTTGTAGCAACTCTTGAATTTTCTTTTTCTATTGGAAGCATATTTTATCTAGAATAAAAATGTCGAAAGATATTGCTTCTATGAGAGAAATACAACACAACCGACAACTCATTATGCAAGCTCTAAATAAGAACACAACAAACTTTTCAAACTATTCTAAGATATCTGAGTCATTGAAAGAAGGAAACTTAAAACTGACATTAAACCCTTTAACAGATGAGTTTCTATTTCAAGACAAGAAGAACAATACTGTCTGTATAAATCCAACAAAAGGAACTTTAAACGAGAAACCTATAAATGAACTTCTTTTGAAAGCAGATGTTGACAACAAAGCTGACAAAGAATATGTAGACGATGCAATAGCAAAAGAAGAAGAAAGAGCTAACAATGCTTATGCAACAAAAGAACATACTCATCCTGAACTAGCAGACAAAACATATGTTGACAATAAAATGTCAAGTGAAGTGACAAGAGCTGAAAACGAATATTCTAAAAAGACTCATACACATTCTATATCTGAAATAACAGACTTACAAGAAACCTTAAACAGGAAAAGTGCCGTTGGACATACACATACCATTGCAAATATTACAAACTTACAAGAAACCTTAAACAGGAAAAGTGCCGTTGGACATACACATACCATATTGCAAATATTACAACTTACAAGAAACCTTAAACAGTAAAAGTGCCGTTGGACATACACATACATCTTCTGAAAAATAACAGCAGACTTAAACGTTAGCCTTGAGAAGAAAGCAGATAAGAACCATACACATACAAGTTTTACAACTGTTGCTATAGAAAGTATTGAAGGAACGGTTGACGTAACTGGTGGGGATGTATTATATTGTAAACCTCCTAACTTTCCACAAGGTTTAACATCGGATGACGACATAACGACGATGAGAAACATTAGATGTAAAGATGTTTATGTCATGAAGGATGAATATAATATTAAATTCACTGCTCAAGATTTATATGACAAGAAAGCAGACAAAACAGAGCTTCAAACATTAAAGACAGAAATACTTCAAACATTATATCCTATAGGCTCTATTTATACGTCAATGAACTCTACCAGACCAGAAGTAGTACTTGGTTTTGGAACTTGGACTCAAATAGTCGACAGGTTTTTGTATTGTGCAAACTCTTCAAGGAAACAGGTGGAAGTAAAACGATTTCAGGTGAAAATTTTACCTGCACATAGTCACTACATAGATTTAAGTACATCTCAAGCAGGTTGGCATAAAGCATAGATATTGGGATTGGTCAGCAATGACAAAAGGTAAAGGATATGATGTTAAAGACAACGTTCAGTTTGCTATAAATTTTTCTGGAGTAACACTGAGGGAGGAGGAAACCATACACATCGCTTTTCAGGATATACGCAAACAACGGGACAAAGTAAAGACTACATGCCACCTTACATGACAGTTTACGCATGGTATAGAAATGCTTAGTCGTCATTTTCAACTTCTTTAGCATATTCGTCAGGAGTTGTCT